TGTTTATAGGGCCAATTACCCATTTTTTTCTCTCTCTCTCTCTCTCTCTCTCTCTCTCTCTCTCTCTCTCGATATGATTAATACCATCGGTATGATGATGATGATAATATCGTCCGTAAATATTACGACAATTGCACATATATTTGGTGTGGTTAGTCGCCATAGTCGTCGTCGTCGTGTGTGTGTAATATTATCAGTGAAAAATATTATTATTATTAGGTCGAATGATGATGACAAATGTTGTTTTTTTGGAATGATAAAATATTTTTTTTTGATTGACGGCGGCGGTAAATGGCGGCAGCCGTAACCAAAAAATCAAAAAAAAAATGTCTGGCTTTTTTTTTTGTTGCCCGTTTTAACGTTTTGTGTACGTAAAATGTTTCTTTTTGGCTGGAAAAGATCAAAAAATTTGGATAATCGATATTAGTTGTTGCTGTTGTTGTTGTTTTCAAATCAAACAAATTGATAATTTCTTGGTGGTGGTGGTGACATTGACAATTCTTTTTTCTTTTGTTTTGTTTTCTAAATTAGGAAAAAAAATGAGAAATGATTATTAATTTGGTTAAACAAAACAAAAATGAAAAAACGAAACCAATAAGGGTTATAAAACCAATATTTGGCCAGAAGTTTTTTTTGCTTTGTTTTTTTGGTCTTAAACGATTAATTCTGCTTGTGTGTGTGACACACAACGATCAATAAATATATTTGAGACACCAGACAGAAGATCGTCGTCGTCTTCGTCGGCGACAATGTTCATTCACTTGTTGTTGTTGCTTCGAGGTTTTTGTTGGAACGCGATTCAATCAGTCATAAAACAACTGGCTGATTATGATGATGATTATGATTATCATTTTACCCCATTAGGGCCAGTTATAGGCTTTGTTTTGTTTTTTTGTTTTCCAGTGGTACCAATGTTTGTTTGTTTGTTTGCATTGGTCCAAGGTCAGATTCATTATCATTATTTGTCAGAAAAAACATTGGAAAAAAATTACCACCAAAAACTTTTGATGATAACGTTGATTATAAGGAAGGAATTGTGTTCGAAAGCCGCCAAAAAAAAAAAAAAAAATTTCGAACACAATTCCAGTGGTAACACTTCGTAATACCACTACCTCCACCGCTGATATATTTCTGTTATCGCTCTTTCCTTTCACATTCTTTAACCGCGGCCAATCAGGAGATAAGAACAAACTGCTGCTACTATCAGCACCTACCACTACTGCCACTATTTCAAAGACAAGAATGAAGAATATTTGGATCACCACCACCATCGCCAAACCAAACCATTCATCGATTGACAATTGTTGATTCAACATCGACGAGATATCTGAGAAATCGTTGAGATTTTTATTTTTATGGTTTTTTGGTTTGTTTTTGTTGCTCCACAACTGATAAAAAAAATCGGATCAAACTCTACACATCAATCTTTTATCAATTGATGTGTTTGTGGTGTGTTTTTCCAACTTTTTATAACCAACATCATTCGATTTAAATGATGCAATCAACAATACAACATTGTTTTTGTTATTAAAATTATCGGTTTTTTTCGTTTTTAAATTGAAAAAAAAATTATATCATCAAATCCGCTAACGTTTTAAACAAAAATCCACGTTTCGAACGTTTTCTCATTTCGAACGTTTTTGAATTCTTCATTTCGAACGGATATTGTGCACGTTGTATATGGACGGATTTCCGTTCGATATTTTTTCACGGTTTTTGTGAATTTTTCATTTTTTTTTCATCATCATTTTTTCAATTTGTTTGGATCATTCTGATCCTTCAATTTGAAAAAAAAACAAATCCAAATCATCATAATGGCAAGATTAATCATTTCATCATATTTCATTATAATCACCATCATCATATCTGGTATAAAATGTAAGTCTTTTTTTATATATAAAATAAAAAATCCCATTTAAAAATAATAATAATGATGTAATTCCATTAAAAGATTAGTTTTTTTTTGTTTGTTTATTGATCAGTAAAAGGAGAGAAAAACATTGATTGAATTTCAGAAAGAAAAGATGCTAAAAGATTATATCCATTTACGATCATTTAAAGATTTGTTGTTGTTGTTTTTCTTGAATTCAATGTTTTTTTCTGTGATAAGACTGGTGGTGTATTCGGTGTTTGTTTGGTATAATTATAATCATCATCATTATCATTAAAATAAGATATAGGGCCTTTAGGGCAAAATGAAGACGATGACCATTTGACCATTTTATAGTTTTTTTTAGAAAATCAGTTTAGTCAATTTTAATGTTGTTGATGATGATATTGATAGACAGATAAAAAAAAGAATTTTCAGATGTGAATTGAATTTTTTTTTTTAATTTTGTCGCCAAGATTTTGTTTGATTTGGTTTGGTTTGGTGTGTGTGTGTATAGTTTTTAAAACGAAAAAGATTCTGAAAATTAAGATAATTTTTTTTTGTTTAGTTTGATTTGATTTGATGCTGAAAAAAAAACTTCATTTTTTTTATCATCATCAGCATCATTAAGGCAGGTCTGTTTTTCTTTTTTTGTTGTTGTTGGTTAGATAAAATAAAATGACATACGATTATGATATCTATGGAAAAGATCAGAATTGAAAAATATTTTTATATAAAGGTGGATCCCTACCTACCTAGCTAACTTTACCTTATCATTATTGACCTTACAATCATCATTATTATCCATCCATTTTGAATAAGAATGTTTGTCATCATCATCATCATCCATTTCATTAAAGAAAACAAAAAAAAATTTACTTTACTTTTGATCTATGATGATGATGATTGTAATAATGATAATGATAATTTTTACTAATTTTTTTTGTTTGTCTTTTAAGAAAATTTTTTTTTTGGCGATGATGATGATTATTATATTTGGAATTTTTTCTGTTGAGTTTTTGTTGTTGGCGACATTGATGGGATGTTGTAATCAAAACAAAAATGATCATAAAAAATTGATCCTTTTTTCTTTTCTCAAATCTTTATTCACTTCTGGATGATGATGATGATGATAATCAAATAAGCAAATTGATTTTTTGTTGCTGTTGTTGTTGTTTGCTGTCTTCTAAATTATTATTATCATCATTTTACATCATCTTTGTGTATGTCGATATCTTTTGTTTAATCTTTATTTCAAAAGTAACCCAACCAACTGGTTGACTGGACATTTTCTGTTTTTTTCTTTCTTCATTTTGAAGATAATTCTCCCTTTCTATGTGTGTGTGTGTGTATTTTGAAATCACTAATTAAAGGCTTTTTTGTTTTTATTATTATCGTTCATTGACTATGATTATCTCACTATTTTTGTTGTTGATAAAAAATTATTAATTAAGAAAAGATTAAAACAATTGTCATCATTTGAGGTTCATATTCAATCCTGATTTTGTTTTAAAATAATGTTATATGGATGTCTTTGAACCTTGAAATTTACTGATTAACAATTAGAAGAGAAAAATTTCTCCATAGTTTTTTTTGTTTTGTCTTGAGTTTCACCATTTGTTCAGGTATTTTTTTTTCACTAATCAAGATAATCAGTATGGAATTGATGGTGGTGGTAGGTAGGTAGGTAGGTAGGTAAAGTTCACTCAATGAAAAAAAAACAAGTTCAAAGTTGAAATCTTTGACTGAAGATCAACTCCTTGAATAGAGGAAAAAAAATTTCTCCTGCTGTGTTTTCCTTTCTTTCTTTCTTTTTTTTTCGTTGTTTTCGATCAACGGTTCCAACATTGGTATTTTGTTTCAAAAAAATTTTTGTTTTGAAACTCTTTTCTTCAAATCTTTACATCAGAATGTTGGATCTCGTTTCTTGTTGTTGTTTGTTTGTTGTTAATCAGATTGTTCTAAAACATTTTTCCTAAGGACTTCCACCACCACTCTTTTTAACCTATTTGGTTGTTGTTGTTATGCTTATCTTATGTATATCTACATTTGGAAATCTATTTACTTAACTGTCATTTACTATGGTTGATATTTTTAAACAAATAAATTTAGCTACGACATTTTAAGAGAGAGAGAGAGAGAGAGACTTCAACCTTAAAATGGTCAACTTTCTCAATCACATTGTTTGATGATCTTTGTGACAAATTGCGTTGTTTTTGAATGAAAAACCACAACAACAACAACAAAAAAACATATCAAATTTTTCAATTGCCCACTTGATCTAAACATCATTATTATTTTTGTTGTTGTTGTTGCAACAATAATGATTATCGACATGAGAATCACTGTGTGAGAAAATCATTCAAACGAAAAAGCAAAAAAAACCGCAGAATTTTTTTATTATTATCGATTATTTTTCTACCATTTTGGTTGAACATCCTTATCATTATTATTATTTTTTGGGCCTGAAATGATGATTATTTTTCCGAAAATGTAACTTTAGGGGAAAAAAACATTGAGTCTGAGATTTTTTGGCCAATTCCTATTGTCAAACATTTGTAGTGTGGCCATGGACCTTGTAAGCAAACCATGCATTACATTTCAAATGTTCAATGATGATGATTATTAGAGAGAGAGAGAGACCATCGAAAAAAAAGACTATATTATTATCATTCCCGAAAAAAAATTGCCGATTGTCGATTGATGTATGTTTTGATGATAATAATAATAATGATGGCTAGGTTAGTCTAGTTTTTTTTTTCTCCATGTATCCAAGGTAGATAGGCAGGTATGTTGTTGCGTGTCCTGATAGAATAGTTGAAAAAAATGAACTACCATGATAACTACCACCACCACCACCGTCATCATTATCATCATCATCGAATCACTATCATTATCATGTTTCATTCATTTTTCCTGGTAGACTTTTGATTTTATAAAAAACAAATTTAAAATTTTCTTTTTTGTTTTGTTTTGTTAACTTGAAAATGTCGATGTCGATGATGATCATTAAGTTCAATTACATAGGTTTAGGATTTCGATTTTTTTGATGGAAAAATTCATTCAACCAAAATTATTATTTCATTTGATTGTCGTTCAATTGTTGGTCTTTTGGGAAAACTTTTTATTTATTTATTTCTTTGTTGTTGTTTGATGATTTGATTCTAGACAAATTCCATTTCTGATGAAGATGAACAACAACAGCAATTTGCCATTGAATTGATGTTCTTCTTTTTATTATCATCAGAAATGAAAAATTTTCATCATCATCATGACATGATGATGATGGCACGCAACAAGTTAATCATGATGATGATAATAATAATGATTATTGTATTTTTCCATACAGAATGGATTCTTTTGTTAACAAAACAAAACAATTCTTTCTTTTTTTCACAATTGGCTGGCAATTTCTTTTCATTTCAATTTTTTTGAATTTTGAAAACTTTTTCTCTTTACATTGTCTATGTGTGCGGTTGGTTCTGTTTGGTTCACTAGCTGATGATATTGGTCATTTGAAAACAGAAATTATTATTATTATTATTTTTCGCAAAAAAAATGCATAAATCTTTTTCCGATTAATCGCATCTAATTGTTAAATATTTATCAAAACCAGATTGATGATGATGTTTTGATCTTTGAATGGTCATTTTTTTCAGTTTTGTTCGATTCTATACTGGTCACGCTTGTCGTGTTTATGTATTGAATGAACATATCTTGATGATGATTTTAAGTTTAGTTTATGATGATAATGTTGTATGTTTCTCATCATCATCATTTTTAAACTTTGACCTTTTGGTCAAAATGCACATGGTATATTTGATTACCTTTTGATTTATTTATCTATCTTCTAAATGAATCTTCTTGACCTTATCCAATTAGACATTTTACATTTTTCAAGGTAGTAGTATTAGTATCTATATAATAGCCATATCAAATGTATGCATAGAAAAAAAAACAAGAAAATCTGATGATTTTGTTTTTTTTTGTTTGTTATCATTAAAATATCATTACTCATCACTTTTCTCTTTCTTAAATAATGATGATGATGAATGGAGAAAGGCATATATAAATTAATTAATTAAGAAAAAAAAGGAAAGAAAGTAAAGTAAATGATGATGATGACAACCAAACAAACGATTGATATGATGATTATGATTGAAGACATTTTTTTAATTTTGTCATTTTTTTTGTTTTGTTTTTTGTCATTTGATGATCATTGACTAGACCAAAAAGCGGCGACAAACGATGATAGTTATCATTGTCGTCGTCCAGAAAATATCGTCAGTAATTCGGACTTGTTGTTGTTGTTGCTGTTGGTCTATTTGATTTACCACTCCAAACAACAACAACAACCGAAAAAAAACAATCTTATCAATCACAGACATATACATTATCTGTAATGTGGATTGTTTTTTTTTCATTCAATCTTCTTCATCTTTATCTTTGTTGTTCATTTTCATTTCAATGCAATACAATAATTACCCATAATAAGCAAGTAGAGTATACAAATTTTGATTATTGAATTGATGGAATAAGTTTTTTCCTATGGAAGATATATAATGATGATGATGATGATGATGATGATCATCACTTACCACCACCACCACTATATTATATTCAGTTGGTTTTTGTGAACAACATAGAAAAAACCTGGCCAATTCTTGTTCGAACGAAAGTAATCGTCGTCGTCGTCGTCGTTGGCCAAAAACAACCAAGAGAAAAAGAAAAAAAAAATCTAAAAAGAAGCGAGGGTTTCTATTTTTTTTTGGTTTCTTTCGGTTGTTTTGTTCGTAAATTATACAGTACTTGATAAAGATTTTCTACTTCTTGACCCTCATCATCATCATGATGGTCGTTGGTCTTCGTTCTTCGTTTTGGTTGTTCACTTAAGAAAAAAATACGAATTGCAGGCATGCATGCATGCATGTAGGAAAACATTTTAAGAGAAAAAAAGGCCAAAAAAGAAATTTTTTTGACTGGCGACTTTTTAACCATGGCCGTCGTCATCTTTATCATCATAGTCGTCGATGGTCGGTCGGTCGGTTTGTCTGTGATTTGATCGTTTCGATTCACTTTGCACGACGTCGACTGACGACGAATGAAGATAATGATGAAAGATTTTTTTTTTCCTTTCTTCAAAGTTAGTTCGAAGCCTGTACACCACTATCTAAAGATATTCCCCATATCTAAGATTTTGTTGTTGTTGTTGTTGTTTAAGTGTATTGGATTACTTTGTTTTTGTAATGATAATATGGTTGTGGCTGCTGCTGTATGTTTTCTTGTTTTTGTTTTGGAAACTAAAGAAACTTGAAATTTTTTTTTCATTTTTTTTTGAATTGAATGACTGAATGAAAAAAACAAACATGAAGAAAATGAAAGATGGCTAATTGAGATGGGGCTAACATGGAATTATTTTTTTCAATTTGATGATTCCTATCATCGGATCTAGAATAGAAAACTAAAATAAGTAAAAAATGCCTGTTTTTTTCTTTACTTTCGATAATAACCTGATGATTATTATCTATTGGAAATAAAATCTAGAAAAACTTTTTTTCCTGTCTGTATATTTGACAACAACAACAACAAAAAAAAAACGCCACCAATCTTTTATCTATGATGATTCTTACAACAAAATGCATATTTTCTAAGCAAAGAAAAAAAGAATGATATGATTTTCTTTTCTTTCTTTTTTTTTAATGAATGACAACATTTGGATAGGATTAAATTGCTCATAGCTCATCGTTTAGCTCTTCCTAATATATATTAACACATCCGTATTTTTGTAATCCATTGATACAATTTGTGTGTGTGTGTGTGTAAATAGAAATGATTACTATTATTACAAAAAACAAATATTAGATTGAATAGCCGGAAATGTAAACAATGTTTTTTTTTGTTATATTGTTTAGTTGTAAATAGAGTTAGATTAGATAATATAATTGTTGGTCAATAATAATAATAATTACAATGAGAATTTTATCTAATTTTTTGTTTTGTTTTGTTTTGTTTATCATTGATAATATATATAGGTGACATTCGTTGTTATTGTAATCAACCAGTTTGTGTACGTACCGGTTATATGTGCAAATCAAAAGGTAATCATCAACAAGCTGGATGTTATGTTGAACATACAAATAGTTTTAATAATATGATGAATGATCGTTCAAGTGATATATCTCGTCATGGTTGTATTGAAATGTTATCAAATGATCAACGTATTCCATGTATGGAATTAGCATTAGCATTACGTTCATCATTATCTCATCATCATAATCATAATCATAATCATCATTCCAATCATCATAGACATCATTCATCGATTCATATTCATCAACCGATGACAACAACAACAAACAATAATAATAATAATCATAATCCAATTCATCGTAAACATAATAAAACAATAACCTGTTGTCTTGATGATATGTGTAATTATGTTAAAACAATTAATGATGATACAAATAATGATTCAGATAATCATCATCATCACCATCAACATCATCAACAACAACCACAATCAACAATAATATCATCATCAAATGATTTTGATTCATTTGGTAAACATTTACAAGAAAATTTTGGAATCGAAGGTAGTAAGGCTTTTGTTGTTTTTTGTTTGTTCATAATTGATTTTAATATGAATCATTGTGTTTGTTTTCAAATATATAGGTTCCATTCAACAATATGGTTCGATTTTAATCATTGCATTCATTATGACACCAATTTTAATATTAATATCTATTATCTGTATGGTTATATTGTACATACGTAAAGTTGATAAGAATAAAAAATTTCCAAAACAATTATCAATTAATAATAATAATAATAATAAAGATCATCATCATCATCAACAACAACAAAAAATACATCAAACAAATCATCATCAGAAAAATAATAAATTTTCAATTAAATCAAAAATCAATGCCAACAATAATAAACAGAAATTATTCGTTGATGTTAATAAATATCCACATGGTATTGGTAATATTCAATCATTAACACCATTTACACAATTAGATGAAGATATATTCGATAATTATCCTGAATCATTACCATCATTGCCGAATATAATTAGTGGACATAATTTACCATCATCAACAGCAATCACTAATGATTTTACAATTATTGAATTTGATAAACGAAAAAAAGAAACAACATTTTCAACATTAACCGATCAAAATCGTGTTGAAAATACAAATACAATTTATATGTCACCACCACAACCACCATTGAATAATAGTCATTTGAAATCAATCAATCATTCAAATCATTTGGATTTAGTTTCGGAAACATTTTCAGAATATTCAAATAGAGCTTTTAAATTTCATGAAGAAGATAGATAATGATTCTCTTCTTTTTTTTGATTGTTTTTATTGTAAATATATTTTTTTTATCTACTCTTTCCGTTTATAAAATTGTTTATTATGTAAATACTAATTAATTTGTAAAAAAAACAAATAATGATGAAAAAATTAAAAAAAAAAAAAATTTTGACCCAAAAAAAACTATGACATTAGATTTTGATAGGAAATATTTTGTAAAATTTTTGTAGCAGGACGTGTTGTTTGTAAATGTTCGACAAGATTTTTCAAAAAAAGTTTATTCGTTGTTGATGTTGTGGATGTTGCGGATGATCGATCCATTCGATTACAAAGATAAAAATAAGCACCTTTAACTAATTTATAATCGAAAAATATTAGATAAACAAATTCAATAATAAGTTCTTTATCAAAATTCATTGAAATTAAAAATTCAATAACACGATTTGCATTCAATCGTGAATATTTTTCCGTATTTACATTCGATATATGATATAATTGATTTTTGATTCGATTATAATCATGAATACCGAAACGTATTTCAAGAAAAAATCGTATACGTAATTCCGGATCATTAATTAGATCGTTTAACATATGTTTAAATTCCAAATCATTAACAGTAAAAAATGTTAATGGTAAACGATTGAATGGAATTTCTTCTTGTTTTAATTTTTCAATACGATTAAGAATTTTTTGATAATTTAATGCAAGAAAATCTGGGCCAAATATTTGTAAATTTAATTGTTTAAAATCTTCGTTTGAATCGATTGAATTGAATATCGATATTAATCGTTCGGGATCCATTGATATTAAATCAATTGAACGAATATAAAATTGTCCATCACATTTTTGTTTGATTAATTCAAAATTCTGTATAATTTGATTGAAATTTAATCGTAATATTTCGGGCATAATAATCAGATGTTCATAAAGATGATCACCAACAATCGAACGTAATTTTGTTGTAATAAGTGAAAGATTTTCCGGATTTATCATTAAAAATAATCCATTATTAATAATTTTATTTGCAGAATAATTAAAATTATTCTGTAAAAATGTTATATTCATTTTGATTGTCATTAGATTGATTTCCATTAATAAACGTGAATTTTTTCGACATAAATGTAATGAACGATTATTTGATATTTTTAAACAATTTGATAGATAACATGCTGTTAATTGAATACGTAATTCATTCAACGGTATTTGATCAATGGATTTTTCATAGAAATTTTCAATTTGTAAAGATAAACCGGTTTTAGTATCACCATAAATTTCTAAATGTTTACACATTTTATCAAAACAATTTTGTTCAATTGGATAATCGAAATGTTTACGTAATTGTAGAAGATTCAGTTTAAGTATTTCATTGATTAAACCGATCATCGGTATTTGAATCGAACGAAAACCAATTTCTTTCAACAATAATGTTCTGTATATAAATAAAAATAAAAAGAAAGGGTGAATAAGGATGAAAATTATCATTGAAAATAACGATAATTACCGATTATATAATTGTTGAAATGGTAATAAAAATGGTTTTGGATTATATTGAATTTCTTTGGCAGTGAAAAATAATTTTAAAAATTTACAAAGATGTACAATCGATTCATTTGTTGGATAATTTTTTCGTATTAAATCATCATAAAGAAAATAGATTTTTTTCGTTTCCATTCGTGACATTTGAAATTCATGTGAAACATATTGTTCGAAAAAATTTTCATCAATTTTTTCATTATCGAATGTCGTCGAAGTAAGTGGATGATTATCATTCGAATGTTGATCAAATTGAAATTTTAAACTTGTCGAACTATTTGCATTCGTTCTCGATTGGATTAGGATTCTTTTCGTGGTAAAAAACATAAAATTTCGATTGAAAATACCTGTCATCAATCGGATTGAATTCATTTTGTTTACCGAAAACAAAAATTTCGAATAAATTCTTCAAAAAAATTCTTGGCGCAGCATGATCATCATTGTTGCACGTTGTCGTTGAATGGACCAACACACGTGTTCGTACACGAAACGAAAAAATCTGGATTTTTACGAAATATCATCAAAATGGCAACGAAAAATCGAAATAAACGACAATCGAATTCGAATCGAACCGAAGAAAAAAAGAATCCTTTAAAACGACAAAAATTACATAAAGCTTATTATTCAGCTGCAAATGTTTTATGGCAATTGAATGAAAAATCTGGTTCATTAAATAGTTTGATGAATCGTTTTACCGGCGATAAAGTAAATGTTTTTTTTGTTTGATTATTTTCTCAATCAACTAATTTAACAAATTCATTTTTCATTTAAAAACCAATATAGTGTATCAAAATGATCTATGCATTAGCCGTTAAAGTGTTAAAAAATCATAATATAATCGAACAGATTCAAACAAAATTACCCGATTTCGATTCGAACGAAATGAATTCATATTTGATTGAAATTCTTATTGCTGAACTTTTGTTTGGTGAAAAAAGTTTTCTAAAATATCGTCGTAAAGATGAAGTAAAATATGTGATTGAAAATCGACAAAAAATTATTGATCAATATGCAAAAGGTTTGTTTGTTTGTTTTTTTGACCAGAAAAAATGCTAAATAAAAAATCCATTGTTTTCTAGTGAAAAATATTGAGAATGAAACTTCGAATGATCCATGGATAAGATATATTCGAATAAATTATCTAAAAAATTCTAAAACAGAATTGATGAAAAAACTTGAACAAATTGAATTCAAACAACGATTATATTCGAAAAATGATATTCAATTTGATCAATTTAAAACAATTGCATTATCATTAGCTATTGATGAATATCTGGTTGATTATCATTTCGAAGATGTATTTGTATTCAATGATGAATCGACAAAAAAATTAACCCCATTATATGAAGATGGGTCGATTGCAATGCAAGATAAGGTTTGTATTTGATAATTATTATGGTAAATTTTTCCCCGCTAACGATAATCTTTTAATTATAGTCAAGTCTTTTGGCAATTGAAGCAATGAACCTTGAGGAAAATATGATCATAATGGATGCATGTGCAGCACCTGGAATGAAAACATCGGCAATTGCATCACGTTTAAATAATTTATGTACAATTTATGCAAATGATAAAGATAAAAAACGTTTTAATGATATGAAAATATTATTAAAACGTAATGGTGTACGATTTAAATCTTCTACAGAAGATTTTACACAAATTGATCCGACAAAATATTCAAATCTTGATTGTTTATTACTTGATCCATCTTGTTCGGGTAGTGGTATTAATCGAAGACTTGAATATACTCATCAGAATCATGGTGATCAATCAACGGAAGAAAATTTAAATATTAAAAAAAGATGTGAAAATTTAGCAAAATTTCAATTAGCTATTCTACAATCGGCTATTGCTTTCCAGGCTAAACGTATTGTTTATTGTACATGTTCCAAATATCAAATTGAAAATGAAGATGTTATCGAGAAATTATTTGAAATGAATTTAGATCTGAAAAATCAATATGAAATTATTGATCCAATGCCTGAATGGCCTTTAAGAGGACAAGGTAATTATTCATTTTCATTAAAATGTTTACGTGCCGATTATGAAACGACAATGACAAATGGATTTTTTTGTTGTGTTTTACAACGTCTACAGCAACAATCGAATTCAGATCAATCAAATGATGATGATAATAAAGCAGAGAATATCGATAATAACAATCATCACGATGATGATGATGATGAAATGGAATCAAAGAAACCGAAGAAAAAGCTAAAAAAGAGGAAATCAATGGCAAATGATTTCATAATCACTTAATGGATGACGATTTATACGATGTTGTTGTTGATGATTACTCGATTGATTTGCAATTTGAAAACAGAAAAAAATGACATGTTTTGATTTCGACTATTTTGACTATAGTTGAAAAGACGACGACAAACATTCGGGTTATTTATTGCCGACTTAATTCGATGATGATGATTGTTAATTCGGAAAACAAGCAAAAACAAAAAAATTTAAAATCTTGACGAATTTTGTTTCCAAAAATAATCTAAAAAAACACCATTATGTTCGGTGTGTGAGTGATGTAACCTTGTTTTGAATGTATTTTTTCTTTTCTTTGATTTCTTTGATTGAAACGACAACGATGATGATTTTTTTACATTCATAATTGTTGCATTTGTATGTAATAAATATATAACAATTGTCATTAAAAGCCAAAATTGAGTAAAGTAGCAGTAAAATTCATATAGCGGTATATTCGGTATTTGTCAATGATGATTGTCTATGGGATCCAAGGATTTTGGATTTTTTCTTATATTTCAATATTCTTGATTGCTTGCTTCGATGTTGAATTTAAAAAGAAAAATCAGACGTTTTTTTTCACTTAAAAATGACAAGACAAAACAAGAGAGGATAAGGATGGATGAAATACTTTTTTAATTGAAATTGTGAAGGTGAGGCCTCGTCGTCGTCGTTGTGACAAAACAAATTGTATGGTAATATGACGGTGGTGGTATTTGTAATAATAATGATAATAATGGTTGATGATGATGAAAACAACGACTTGATGACAAAAAAAAGGAAAACGATAAATTTCCATATGACAAGAAATAATCATTTAACATTTTGCAAAAATTTCGCGACAACCAAAGTGATCTTAACGAATTAACGAGTGAATTTTTCTTCAATCATTTTTTTTCGAAAGAAAAACAAAAAAAATTTGATTTTTGATTTTCAACAACAACAAAATCCTGATATCAGCGCATCAAAATTGGACGGAAATTGAACCATCAATGATGACGATGACGACGATCACGGCTTGAAATTTTTTCAATAAATCAAAACATTGTAAACGTATGTTTTCCATTTTGATTTTTCGTTTTTTCGTTTTCAATCATTGCCGATCCTGAGTGTAATAAATTCGGGATAATTTTACTTTTTTTTTTGAAACTACTAGGATATCTACATCTTTTTTTTCTTAGTAAAGATAATTATTACTCGTTTTATGATAATAAAAAAAATACAAACAGAAAAAAAACCGGGTGACAGTTTTCTTCGAAATGTTCTTCTTTTTTTCTTCAGTTTTGTTGATGACGACACAAACGGTGATTACGATGGTGGTGGTGGTGGTATTTTAATTCAAAATGACTTTATTTTAACTTGAAAAAAACAGAATTGAAAAACAAAAAATGAAAAAATGAAAACAAAACAAAAAAAAAATGAAAAATTCTTTGCCGGAATTTTTTTTCTTTCAAATCGAATTTGTTCGTTTGTTGTGAATGGTTGTCACATTTCGAATATCATAAATTCATCAGCATACTGTTGTTTGTGAATGATCAAAAAACTAATTTCGAATGTTTCTGTTGTAAAGGTGTTCGATTCTTTTATTTTCTTAAGAATTCTTCTTTTTTTGACATTTACGATGATGTTTTTCATCAAAAATCTTTTATAATTGCTTTTTCCCCAGTGAAAATGATTGTTTTTTGTTTGTTTTTTGCATTGTTTTTTGATCAAATTAATAAGATTAACCTGTTTAACTCTTGTTTTCATTTTTTTCATTCAGATTTTTATCATTCAAAATCTAAACAAATTATATACCAATCAAATTAGATTGATAATAAGGTAGATGCTTGTTTGATTCTAATCATGCCAAAAACAAAACAACAAACTCAAGTAATTTTATCTGCTTTAAAATTTAACTTTTGCAACCTCTTCAAATTTCATTCGAATCGTGAAACAAACAAACAAACAAAATTATTAGATTGGAACCAAAAACGANTTCCATTTTGATTTTTTGATTTTTCGTTTTTTTTTCAATCATTGCCGATCCTGTGTGTAATAAATTCGGGATAATTTTACTTTTTTTTTGAAAGATGATCCTATAGATGTAGAAAAAAAAGAATCATTTCTATTAATAATGAGCAAAATGATAATAAAAAAAATACAAACAGAAAAAAAACCGGGTGACAGTTTTTCTTCGAATGTTCTTCTTTTTTTCTCTTCAGTTTTGGTTGATGACGACACAAACGGTGATTACGATGGTGGTGGTGGTGGTGGTGGTATTTTAATTCAAAATGACTTTATTTTAACTTAAAAAAAACAGAATTGAAAAACAAAAAATGAAAAAAAGAAAACAAAACAAAAACAAAAAAAAAAATGAAAAATTCTTTGCCGGAATTTCTTTTCTTTCAAATCGAATTTGTTCGTTTGTTGTGAATGGTTGTCACATTTCATTTCGAATATCATAAATTCATCATACTGTTGTTTGTGAATGATCAAAAAACTAATTTCGAATGTTTCGGTTGTAAAGGTGTTCGATTCTTTTATTTTCTTCTTCTTTTCTTTTTTTTGACATTTACGATTTCATGATAATTTCCATCAAAAATCTTTTATAATTGCTTTTTCCCCAGTGAAAATGATTGTTTCCGTTTGTTGTTTGATTGTTTTTGATCGAATTGATAAAATTAACCCGTTTAATTCTTTTTCATTTTTTTCATTCAGATTTTTATCATTCAAAATCTAAACAAAATTATATACCAATCAAATTAGATTGATAATAAGGTAGTGTTTTGTTTTTCCTGATGTTTGTTTGATTCTAATCATGCCAAAAACAAAACAACAAACTCAAGTAATTTTATCTGCTTTAAAATTTAACTTTTGCAACCTCTTCAAATTTCATTCGAATCGTGAAACAAACAAACAAACAAAATTATTAGATTGGAACCAAAAACGAATCAAAAAATTCTTAATATGGAATCATCATCATTCTCAAATTCCACAACTAACTTTATTTAACCAATTTTTTTAGTTTAAAATGAAAATAATTTTCTTTTCTTTTCTTTTCTTTTTCAGGCAAAATGTTTATTTTTTCTCATATAGGAAAAAATCCAACAAAACAAGAACATTCTGATCATCATCTTACTGCCATTCTACTACCGCTATCACCACCACCACTACCATCATTATGATTATTAAGATCATCATTTGAAATACAAGAATTTATCCAAAAAAGAATATAGATCATCATCATCATCAACAACATCGACAACATTGGCATACGACCAAAATGTGTGAAATTTTTCAATCAAACAAAATCTATCAACCAGTTGAATTTGTTTGTTTGTTTTTTGTGTGTTTGTGTGTGGGTGATTCTTATTCTTATTCTATAAGTGTTTGTGTTCTACGTTCTATTTCTATCACTGCTGCTGCTGTTGTTGATTCTTGAGCCTCTTCGTTTCGATTCGATTCTATATCCACCCCACCACCACCACTACTACCACCACTGTTATAATCGTAATCATCATCATCAAAAAAAAATCATTGCAATCTTTTGATGTAAAAATTCTGTTGGATGATCTTTTTATAAAAATTTCGTCTTTTTGTTGTTGTTGTTTTCGTTCAAAAGTGTCGATCACACACACCATCGACATAATCTTTTTCGTCGCAATGAAAGTATTAAAAAAAAACAACGACAACGACATAGAATTTCCGAATAAAAAAAAATTATTTTTAAACATCATCAGGTTCAACCATCACAAGTGTGTGTTGCCAATGTCTTTCTAATCAAATTTCGATCTAAATTCTAAATTTCATTCTAACATCATCATTATTATTCAATGTGAATTTTGAAGAAAAAAACAAGACATTTTAAAACGAAGAATTGTCGTCGTCGTCGTCTTTATTTCATTTTATTTCTTCTGATATTTCACCATCATCATCAAGATTATTGTCGTCATGATTCGTATGCAAGAAATAAAAATAAAGACGACATAATTATAATGATGATGCACATATGTTGAATACAAGCATCTTTAGTGTCCTCAAAACCAAAAAATTTTATCATTCATTTATTTCTTATATTCCGTATTTGTAAATTGAATAATTTTTTTTGTTGTTTGTGTGTGTTTGTATTTCATTTTGGGTATTGCATTTGTATAATTTTTTATTATTATTTAAATTTAAAGTTTTTGGGTCATCCTTATTATTGAATTTCTTGAAGATATTAATTTTTTTTTCAAATCAAAAGAAGAAAAAGAAGAACAAAAATGTCTGGAGCTTGGAGTCAATTAGAACAGCTCCTAACCTGTGCAATTTGTTTGGATCGTTTTCGTAATCCAAAATTATTACCATGTCAACATACATTTTGTGGCGAACCTTGTATGGAAGGTTTAGTCGATTATGCACGAAGGCAGATAAAATGTCCAGAATGTCGTGCCGAACATCGCATTCCATACAATGGTGTACAATCATTTCCGAATAATGTTACATTAACAAGATTTTTAGATCTACATCGTAGTATAACCGGTGAAGAACCAGAACCATTACCATCACAAATGGATCGTTGTGGTGTTTGTGGTGAAAAATCACATTGTATGTTATGTGCACATTGTTCGAAAAAAGTTTGTGATGAATGTCATCAAGCACATTTGGATATATTACGTAGAGAAATTAATCGTATTAATAGTCAAATAAGACGTGGTTTGGATAAACTAAATGAACATGTCGAACAATCGGATAAAGGTAATGAAAAATTATTAACAATAACAACACAAATACGTGATGAAATTACTGAATCAGTACGACGATTAATTAAAGATTTAAAAGATCGTGAAACAAAATTATTAGAAGAATTGGATGAATTTTTAATTAATGAAACAAAAAATTGTGTAAAACTTAAAGAAGATTTTGAAATTGAATTAGCAACAATAACAAGTAATAGTGATATGGCTGATGAAAATATTATCGATACATATGAATGGACTGATAATGAATTAATGGAATTTAAAGATATTTTTATGAAAACATTAGATTTTCTAAGAAATTTAGATACAGATTCAATGGATTATTCAAGAAAAATTAAATATATACAAAAAGTTGATCTTGATAATATTAGACGTAATGTTTCGGATTTTGGTGAAATACGTATCCAACAACCATTATCATCATCATCATCATCAACAACAGGAAATTATTTATCACCATTATCACCAGCTGATAGTATGAGTAATTTATCATTACCACAAAGTTCATTGATGAGAAGTCAAAGTGATCATCGTTTAGCTCAATTTGGTAATCCATCATCACCATCATCAACAACAAGAACATCAACACAAAGATCAGATCAATTACAACGTAGTTATTTAGATATAACTGGTGGATCAAATAAATATGGTGGAGGTAGTGATTCTGAACGTGAACGTTGTACAAGTCCAACAAGTGGTCGTCGTATTGAAGGTTCAGTAAGATTTGGTTCAGTACATGAACGTAGTTCAACTGCACGTAATAATAATGATTTTGGTTATACACGTGGTTGGCAAAGACCCGGTGATCAAGATTATGAACCATCAAATTCGGCAAATTTTCGTTCACGTTTTATGCGTGAAAGAATAAGAGAACGTACTGGTGGTATTGGTGATGATCATAATTTAGATGATCATGATTCATCGGATATATTATCTGGACATCGTGTACGATTTCAAGAAGAATCATCATCAACAACATCGACAACAGCAACAGCAGCAACTAAATCAAAATTATTTGATACAGAAGAAATGATCAATATGCGTACACCATTAAGTGGTTTGATAAAATTATTGGATTCACCACATCTAATGGAACGTTTACATCAAAATGAAATAAAAGCTAAACAAAAAGCTGCCGAACAAAAAGAAAATGAAACATCATCATCATCAACAGCAAATAATATCACACCGGTAATATCAAATCCTATAACGCCAACACCAACACCAGTACATAGACCTGCTACAAGACAAATGAGTGAAGATGAAATTGAAAAACAAAAGAAACAAAATCAAGCTGCATTTACACAACAACAACAACCGATAATAACAACTGCTAATAATATGACGACGACGACAACAACAACAACTACCACAACTAATCGTTCACCATTATTATCGGATTCAAATAACAATTCATCAAATGTAACAACATCGTTACAAAATCGTCGAATTCAATCATTACAACAAGAAGATAAACGATCACCATCAATTTCGGATGATAATTCGGATATAGATTTATTAAATTATGATGATGATGATGATAATAATAATAATGTGACCAAAACTACAAAGTCGACGACAATGACAACAGCAACAAGACCATCAACAACAACAACAAATAGTACAGTACGTCGTCGTATTTATGCATCATCCGGTAGCGGTGGCAGTGGTAATCAATCAACAAATAATTTTTCAAAAAGTATTGAATATCCAGGAGAATCATCAACAACAACAGCTCGTAATAAATATTCACCATCATCATATGCGGGAAACATTAATAATAATAATAATAATAACAGGCAAGTATCAAATTCTTCTATGAATTTCTTACCGAACAGAACATTGTCTTCCACATCTTCAACATCATTATCATCATTATTACCATCATCATCATCAGCGATAAAAAGAAATGCATTAGTACCAGGAGAGGATTTAATGACTGGTTGTGTACAGCCATCATCAATTAGTCCATCGAAATTAATATCAACTGATTCATCATCATCATCATCATCATCAGCACCTGCATCGATAAATTCATCAAAAAGCTCAACACCATTTAGTAAAAGTTCAACAATAAAATCTTCGAATAAGAACATTCGATCATCGTCATCATCATCATCATCATCAAATAAAAAAAGAATTCATGGTGGAAGTAATAGTGGTGGTGGTGGTGGTAGTAGTAGTAATTTTGGCGGAAATATCAACAGCAGCAACATCGGCATCATTAGTGATGATGATGATGATGATTATGATTATAATAATAATCCATTATCATCATCAAAAGCATCTAATTATAATAGACATAATAGTGATATTAATAATAATAATAATAATAATAAGGTACCGATTTATAATAATAAATTATCATCAACAACATCAGCTTCATTATTCAATGTTGCTTCTCCATCATTATCATCATCATCATCATCATCATCAACAACAGCAACAACAACACCGAAATCACGATATCAAATGAATTTGGCTTCAAACGGTAGTTCATCAATTAATCATGCATCATCATCATCATCATTACCGTTTAATCAATTTATTGGTAGTGGTGGGGGTGGTAGTAATGGTGGAAATACCTATACATCAACAATGCCATCAACAAATTGGCGTGATTATCAGATGACAAATACAAACAACAATAATAATAATAGTACGTTACCAACATCGAATACAACTGGAATGATGATTGATATGGCGGCAAATAATTCGATTCCAGCATCTTCAAATTCGAGTATTGAAAAACAACAACAACAACATACTGATGATGATGATGATGATAAATCTTCATCAAATAATAATGACCATAATAATCAAATGCAATTGCTTAATAGTAGCAGCCACCAAAATCCTTTCATCATCACCTTCAAACAATCATCTAACCTTCCTTTGCAATTGCTACAAATCCAAATAAACAATAATGATAGTAATGATAATTTTAATGCAGATGAGAATAATAATAATATTTTATCCAATCAATACAATATGATAGATATTCCAATTCGTAAACGAATTCGTATTTAAAAAAAAAGAAAACAGTAATGAGATAATCCCAAAATTTGCAAAATATTAATGATGATGATGATGATGATAATATTTGTAAGTAATGTTTGATTGAACAACTAAATTCAATTATGAAAAGTTGGTTGTTAATCAAAAAAAAAAATTGATAACATCATCATTATCAAAAGGCTTTTCTTTCACGATGATAATTTTGCGCTTTATGATGATTATTTTTTTTGGTGTCCAAATACACACAAAAACACAAATTTTTTTGTTGTTGTTGAAAATAATTATCCATATTAGTTATCCAATATGATCTCACTAACAAAAGTTTTTTTTTTGTTTTTTTTCTCTTCTTTTTTTCTGTTTTTCTTCAATCAAAATGATTTTATTCATTCAATGAATCAGGTCTATATTCACGACGACTAGGCCGTCCATATCGATAACAGATCATACTACCATCACCACCACCAATAATAACAAAATCATAAACAATATTGATGATTTAGATCAAAATTATGTTCCATCATCATCTTCAATCTACAACCACCACCAACAACAACCATACCGCCAATCATATAATCATTATTCAATACCATCATCAACAATTCATGAAACATCAAACATACAACCAAGAAATCTATCACCAATATTATCATCGAATGAACAAGCATCATCCAATGGTTCTGAAGCTAATTCTACACAGCCATCACCAATACAATCACCAACACCAATATTAAATGGCATCAATGATAATAAACCTACCAGTCCAGAATCTGAACCAACTGAAGAAGAAGAAGAAGATGAAGAAGAAGTTTATGATAATGAATCTTCAGCAAAAACTTCACCATCTGAATCTCGTCAACCATCACCATCATTATTATCGGCTACAACATCATCGATTATTTTCAAACCATCATCATCATCATCATCACAATCAAATGATAATGTTGAAATTATTTCAAAAAAAGGTAATGTTACAATAATGCGAAGAAAAAGACAAACGATAAAAGATTCAAGCGATGATGATGATGATGATAAAGAAGAACCCGAGGAAGATGCGGAAGAAGAAAATGTTCAGAAAGATGTTGATGATGATAATAATCGTCCACGATTATATCGTGTTAATAGTAGTGAAAATAGATTTAATGGTGAATTAGCTATACCGAATCAATCGAATTGGCTTCGACCAAGTATTGAAAGAGAATTTTTTTCGCCTATTAAAAACAATACCGATAATCAACAAGAAGAAAATGATGATAAAGTAGAACAAAAAGATGTTGATGATGAAGATGATGATGATGATGATGAAGAATATGAATATGTTGATGAAGATGAAGATGAAGAAGAAGAAAATGATAATGAAATTATTTATCTACCTGGTCAACAGAAAAATTCAAGCGAAAAAAGCGAAAAAAGTGTTGAAGAAGAAGATGAAGAACAACAGCAAGAAATAGAAAATCATAGTGATGACGATAATGATGATGATGAACAGATGAAAAGTGCAGCTGAAATTGATTTAATCAAACAACGTGAACAAAGTAGTTCAAATGATGATCTTTTAGAATTTATCGATGCTAATAATGGTGATATTGATGATGATGATGATGATGATGATGATGATGATGATGATAATGAAAAATCCGAAGATGAAGAAATCGATGATAATGATGATGAAGAAACTGAAGAAAATGATGATAATGATGATGATGAGGAAGAAATGGTTGATGCTACTGAAACTACCTATCCATTATATTCAAATTCAAATACAATTCATAAGACAAAAATTGAAAATCATTGAATCTAATCATTTTTGCAAGAATAATAATCATCATCATTACATTACACAAACACACACATATCGTTATCATCATATATAACTAATCTAATCTAATTTAATTTAATTGATTTAATTGTTTTTGTTTTATTTTTTTTAATTTGGTCGTTTCTTTTTGATCTCTAATCAAATTTTTTATATAATATGAAATCAATCAACAAACAGCATTCATCATACACAGGCTCAAATTTCATCATCATCATCATCATTATTAAATAATAATAATAATAATAATACCTATGCTCATTATCGTTCTAATCGTAAAATATCAAGAGATGAAGATGATTTAACACCAACAACAACAACAACATATTCTAGTCCATTAAGTCGTCGTAATAGTGTAAATCGTCGAAATTATCATTATAATGATGATGTAATCACAAATAATATAAATGAATCGGAAACTTATCGTCGATCAAGTATTCATCATCAACCAGTGAATGATCGTTATGGTGGTGGTTCATTATCTACATCAAGTAGCTATCTACGAAATCGTTTAGCTAAAAGTAAAAGTTCACATGCAGTTGGTAAGTTTTAATTGAAAAATTGATATAGGCAAAACATTATTATTTTTTTGTTAATATTGAATTTTATTATTTTATCATAGCTTATGATGATAGTGATGAAGAAAGTAATAATAGTGGTATTGGAAATCCATTATCACCATCGGCAAGTGCTATTGGTGGTTTTAAAAGTCGTTTTATGAATTATGGATCATCCAATAATAATAATAACAGCAATTTGGAAACTAATTCTGATCGTTTGACTTCGGCAAGACGTACTTCAAGATCTGGTTATACATATCGAACCAGAGAACCTAGTCCAGAAGAAGAAAGTGCTGGTAAATCCTGTGAATTTTTTTTTATTAAAATGGAAAATTTATTATTTTTTTTTTAAATAGGTTCAGTTACACAATATTTAATAAATAAATATGGTACAAGAAATAATCGTCCATCAGTATTAAGTAAAAGTAAAAGTTCACATGCTATATTTGGTAGAAGTTTATCAAGTTCGGATGAAGATTTACCGGCTAATGTTACTACGACAAAATATCGTCGTGATTCTTCATCGACAACAGATTATACACCATATAAATCATCATCAATCGGTCTATCATATCCACGACAAATGTATCAACAGAAGAAACGTATGATGATGAAAATAGGTTCACGAGGAACAAATCCAAGCTGTTTTACATGGCCAAGAGGAGTGGCTTGTGGTCCGGATAATGGAATTGTTGTTGCCGATTCGTCTAATCATCGGGTCCAGGTTTTCGATTCGACTGGAAGATTTCAATTTGAATTCGGCTCATATGGTAGTGGTGAAGGTGAATTCGATTGTCTGGCTGGTGTAACTGTAAATCGTATTGGCCATTTTATCGTATCCGATCGTTATAATCATCGTGTTCAAGTTTTTGATGCAAGTGGTCGATTTCTACGAACATTCGGCAATGAAGGCCGATCGGATGGAAAATTTAGTTATCCATGGGGTATAGCCACTGATGCACTTGGATTTATTTATGTTTGTGACAAAGAAAATCATCGGTAATTTCAATTTTTGAATTTATAATTAAAAAAATTAATTGCGAAGTAATAATGCTTTTTAAATTTTTTTCAGGATTCAAGTATTTCAATCTGATGGAACTTTTGTGGGTAAATTTGGATCGATTGGTAGTCGAGCTGGAATGTTGGAACATCCACATTATATTGCTGTCAGTAATACGAATCGAATCGTTGTCAGTGATAGTAATAATCATCGTATTCAAATCTTTGATATAAATGGACGATCTACTTCAACATTTGGAAGTGAAGGTACAATTTGATCATGATATTTGATGATGATCATGAAAAGAAAAATTTATAAAAATTCTATTCCAAAGGATCTGGTGATGGACAATTCAAATTTCCACGTGGTGTTGCTGTTGATGAAAATGGTTTTATAATTGTTGGCGATTCGGGTAATAATCGTATACAAATATTCAATCCGGATGGAACATTTCTTAAGGTATGTTTGTTGTTTCATTTAAAAAATCAAATAATGATCATCAATTTTTTTTCCTAATAATTTTTCGATAAAGACTTTTGGTCAATGGGGTTCAGGTGAAGGAGAATTTAAAGGATTGGAAGGTGTTGCCATTTCTTCTACTGGTAATATTTTGGTTTGCGATCGTGAAAATCATCGAATTCAAGTGTTTTGAACATTTTGAACAATTTCATTTCATTGGCTTGTAATCATTTCTTCAACAGAACAACAAAAAAAAAAACTTTAATTCAGCTGAGAACCAATTTGTATGCTCATCATTCATATTTTTAGTTTTGAAAAAACAAAATTCAAATAATCAAATGTGATATATGTGTGTATTTTTATGCATTTTGTGTGATCACATTTTAAACAAAAAGAAAAAGAAAAAAAATTGATTATAATTTACAAAAATTGAATTAAAAAAAAAATACTGTCAAAAATCTAATAGTAAATAGCAGTCATAGGTTGTTGATGATCAAGATAAGTTAGATTAAACCATCCATATGGCCATTGATATTGTGAATATTGTTGTTGATAATCATTTTGTTGTTTTTGATGATGATGATGATGAAGATAATCACGTATTATTAATTGAATAATTAAAAATAATGCTAATACAATGGCCACAAGAACAATAAATATGAATACTAAACGGCTAATACAACGAAATGATTTATAATAATCATTATCATTATTTGTTTGGATTTTCTTTTCATCATTATTTTTATGGTTGTTGGTAACAACATTATCTTCGATGCCTAAAAATGTAGAATCATTCATTAACATTAATTTATCGGCCAAATATGAATTATCATCATCATCATCATCAGTATTGGATTTATAAATATTCAGACTACTTTGTTGTTTGTTATCGATAGAATCACCATCGTCATCATGATGGTAATGATCATCATTGAAATTTTTATTTCGAATCGAATAAGTAGCATAATTTGTTGATGGTAAACTATTTGAAAAACTAATCATTGATGAATGATTTTGATGATTATTAATATCGGTTGAATGTAAATTGATTGTCGATAAATTTAATCGATTTAATTCTTTTTTATCATCATTTGTCAATGATGATGATGATTGAATCGTATAATTACTTGAATAATTATCATTAGTTGATAAATCTAATGGACTATTTGAATCTATTGTTTCCGAATAAATGGTCGATATATCATCATTCATCATGATGATCATTTCATTGGATTCTTTTTCGATTGATGTTTTAGGTGGTAAAGGTGGTGGTGGTGGTGCTGGTCTTCGTATAATAATCGGTTTCATTACACCATGTAAATATGATGTATCAAAATATTGAAATGATGATGATTCAGATAGATTAACATTATCATTGGATAAATTTAGATCAGTATGATAAGTTATTCGTGATATATTTGTATCGGATGTTTGATTTAATTTAAATTTTTGATCATTATTATCAATGATCGAATCAGCATTATTCATTGATTGAACCAGTAAATTCTGGAAAAAAAGGATATGATTGAAAAGAGATTTTTCTTAAATAACAATTTCAATCAATTTACAATCAACTTACGTTTGATTGAAATCTTTTTCGATGTTCATCTCGTAATGGAAAAATATATTCATACATTTTTCGTGTTTATTTAGATCAAAAGATTGATTGATTGATTGATGATGACTAAAAAAAAAATAAAAAATAAAAACAAAAACAAAATAATTTGAGTAATGAAACCAGACATTTTCTATTTACAAACATGGGTTTTTATAGCTTTCTCAAACACACAAACCATACATATTATCCATTTGCCAATGATTAAGTGTTATCATCTTTTTTTTTGATTTAAGAAATTTTTTTTTGTTTTTTTCAGTAATTAAAAGTGACTAATCAAATCAGATCATTTGGTAACTATGGCTTTTTGACTAATGCGGACATTTAAAAAAACAAAAACAAAACATTTATTTACAAAGAGAAATTTCATAATATAATCAATTAAAAATACAAAAATTCAATCATTATTTTGGCTGAAATTATTTTTTGAACGAGAAAATAATGAACGAAAATGTTTGAATGTTTTTGGAAAAAGAAAATTTTCCATTTTTCTTGAATCAACAACCACACCGACACCGACATCGATTGGATTCGAACGATTCTTTTTTTTGGATTGTTGTTTTGATTTTTGAAAAAAATTCTGATTCCATTTACGTATTAATCGTTCTTTTAAATTCATCAATGTAAATGGTAAAAATTTATCCATTTTAGATTTTGGTTTCATTGATAATGATGATGATGATGATGATTCTCGTTCTTTAATCGAATGTTGTAATGATAATGGTTGTTGATAAACGATCGGTGACGATATTCCATTGTATGTTGATGATGATGATGATGATAATGAACCATAATGGTTATTATTATCATCAACATCAACAACATTATTACCGGATGTAATTCCGAAAAAATCATAATCATTCAAAAACACTGATGATGATGATGATGGTTTTCGATGAAGAAAATAATTTTCTGTCGATATATTTGTCGGTACGATCGGTCGAATACGATTTATCAATGTTTTTGTTGTTGCAGCCGCCGCCGACGTCGTTGATTTTTCCGATTGTATTGGTTTGATTTGATTAATGATGTATTTATTGTTGTTGTTGTTGTTGAGATTTGCTGATGACATATTGTATTTTTTAATAATCAATGGACGAAAAGTTGTTGTTGTTGTCGTTGTGGTCATTCGATCATTATTATTATTATTATTATTATCATAAAAACTATATTTATTGAATGAATAATCCGGTAAATCATCATTATCACCATTAGTTTGATCTTTTCCATTGACAATTGATGATTGTTGTTGTTGTTGCAGTTGTTGTCGTCGATGATTATACCATTTTGGTTTATCAATTTGCATGTTCATTGTTAATGGTGGTGATCTTTTGATTGAATGATCATCCATTATCGTCGTTGATGATGATGATGATGATTTCTTTCGATATTTCAACAACGATGATGATTTCGGTGATGGTGGTGACAATGATGGCGGTGGAGGTGGTGATAATTTTGTTTGATTCAAAACATTTTTTGTTGTTGTTGTTTGAATGAAATTTTTTGATTCATTTCGAAAATTTTTTAGTTCCGCATTCATTGTACCATTAACATTATAAAGTATTTGATTAATAAAAAAGAATTTTGTTGAATTTTGACAAATTTCATTCGAATCATTTTCAAAATTATTATTTTCACATGTTAATTCTTTTTGATTAAATTGCGAACTACCTGGACAATTAAATGTAAATTGACGTTGTTCTTGTTTACAATAATGAAATGTTCGACAATTTAAATCAATATCAGCATAATAACCTTCGGATCGATTTGAACAATCAAAATGTATTGTTGATAGAAATTTATTCAATGATTTTGTTGAACGAAATTTTGTATTGATTAGATTTGATTTTGGTTTGAAAATTTGATTCGATGATGAAATTTTATTCATTTCGAATGATTTTCGCGAAAATACATTCGAATTTAATGAATCTGAATATGAATTGGTTTTTTCAAGAATTGATGGTGCCTAAAAACCCAAAAAACAACAACAACAAAAGATTTGCTCAAAACAGAATTTTTCAAAAACAAAACAAAACCGGAAAACATACCTTTGATAAAAGACGATCGAATGAAATAATTTTATAACGATTATTATTATTATCAATACTATTTTGACTTGATGAGGTTGATAATGTACAAATAGAACAAATGATAATGATAATTAATTTGTTCGATAAAATCATTCGAATTGAAGACATTTTTGTTATTTATTCAATAACATTTTTTTTCTTCTTCTAAAAATTACAAAATTTGAAATTTTTACATTTTTTTTTATTCGCAGATTATTTATCGACTAAAACGGATATTGTCTAAATACAATGTGATGTATTCATACATTGTGATGTTGTTTTGAAAGAAATCCGGGTAATTCACTTGTCGAGAAAAAAATGACTGTAAATGAAAATGATTTTTTTGTGTGTGAAGATTTTCAAACAACGAACAACGACAAACAAGTAAGTAAAAGGAAAATGGCAAAACTATTTCGTTTCTGTTTTTTTTTCTTGGATTTTAGAAAGCCGAAAAAAGAGAGAAACATAAAGAAAGAAAATCATTCAAAAAACGGTTGATGACCATTTCAATACCTATTTATCAACAACCAAGAAGAAAGAATTGCCATTTTAATTTTAATTTTAATCAATCTCTTTTTGATTATAATTATCGTCGTCGTCATTCGCAAATCATTCGATTAATCATTAAAACTTATCATCATCATCATAGACTTCCTATTGTCTCTATCAAGATTAGAATAAAGAAGATGAACGAAAAAAAAGAATAAATCAAAATTCATTGTTTTTTTTCATATGTGAAGACACCTAACATAAAAAAACAACAATGAATCAGTTCAAGAGTTGTTGTTGTTTTTTGTTTCGGGTAGAAAAGAAAAAAAATTATGAAAAATAACCGTTTTTTTTGATAAACAACAAACAACGACCAATGATTATCATCATCATTGTCCTCCCCCCACTGTTCATTCTCATCAAATCATCACGGTTCGTTGATGATTTGATCAGGTAAAATAGTCACGGTATTAGGTATCATCATCATATAGTCATAATTGACGATCAACAGTTATGTCTTTGTCGTTGTTTCGGTTGTTGGTTGAATGATTATGCAAAAAGTATAACGACGAAAAATATTCAAAACAAAAAAAATTTAGTTTCGGTCACGATGTCCAATCACACACACACAATGACCAACCATTCTTTTGATTGATTTTTTTGTTGTTGAAAATTGAAAGATTCGATTTCAACAAAAATTTTTGGATTTCAAAGCCAAAAATAGAATGATTTTTAATTTTCATTTCTTTTTCTTTTTCTTTCCTTTTTCCCAATAGAAATCCCAATTGGAATATCGTTTTGGTTTGGTTTGGTTTGGTTGAATAAATAAAATCAAGTCAAGATAATTGGACGAAAAGAAATTTATATAATAAAAAAAATGCCAACATTTGTGTTTTGACCAAGAAACCAAAAAAAAAATCAAGTCATTCCAAATGTCAGAAAATTGACAATCACTGAACCGAAACAAAATGCAAAAATAAAGACGACTATCCATGGATACCCTGAATTAAGATGGTTTCTTCATCGAAGATATTTCAAATCAGGAAAACAAAACAAAAAAAAAATCTGACCGATTAACCGAAAAACCAAAAAAAAAAGAATCAAGTTGATTTCGAATGAACAAACATCGATTCGTTCGAAATACACATGCGTATTTCACAAATGTGATTTTTCGCACCTTTATTTTCAATGTTTGGAGGTAAGTTCATTTTATTTAAATTTAACTAAACTAAATTTATTTTTTAAAATTAGTAAAATGAAAAATATGGAAAATCAAATATATCGTGTTTGTTTGAAAATCAAAAGGAAATCTAAAAAAAAAGAAAAAGAAAAACAATCAACAAAATAATATGAACATTGTGTTTTGAATCATCAAATACATGTGTAGATCCTATTTGATATTTTAAACATCGTTGAAATTAATAAAATGATTTTTTTTTCATTGTTGAATAACGATTATTATTATTATTATTATGATATTTCGATGAAGAACGATTATTATTCATTTGCCAATGTTGTTGTTGTTGATGATGTTTTTTAAACATTTTTTGTTGTTGTTGTTGTTGTTTACTTGTTGAAATTATCGATAATTGTTCAGGTATTTGATTATTTGATTCACGTAAAATTTCAATCAATTGTCGGGCCAATAATGGATTTAAACGATTAGAAAAAAATGAATAAGCAATACCTTTATTATCTTTTCTACCTGTACGACCAATACGATGTACATATGTTTCAATATCATCGGGAAAATCATAATTAATAACAATATTAACATCATCAATATCTAAACCACGTGCAGCAACATTTGTTGCACATAATAATTTTATCTGACCAATTTTAAAACCTTTTAATGTTGATTCACGTTGTCGTTGTGTCATATCACCATGTAATGATGATGATGATATACGTAAACGGCGATAAATTTGATTTGAAATACGATCACAATCAATTTTTCTATTACAAAATAATAATATTTTTTCATTTGAATGATTTTTTAGAATATTTTCCATCATTTCATAACGTTCATTTGAATCACAAACTAGAACATTTTGTTGAATATTATGATTGGCAACTAATTTTGTACCACCAATCGATATAAATGCATGTTCAGGTTTAAGATATTTATTTACAAATGATTTTACTTCATCTGGCCATGATGCTGAAAACATCATTGTTTGACGATGAAAACGATCAGGACATCGATTAATTAGATAGGATATTTGTGGTTCAAAACCCATATCCAGCATACGATCAGCTTCATCAATAACTAGATAATTTATTTCACTTAAATCAACATATCTAGCATCGATTAGATCTTTAAGTCTTCCGGGTGTTGAAACTAAAAATAATGGATTATTATTTTCCAAATAATCAATTTGTTTTCGACGATCATTACCACCATATAAACAAATTGATTTGAATATTTTAAATTGCCTGATAACATCGAATATTTGTACGGCTAGTTCACGTGTTGGTGCCAATATTAATACCTTAGGTTTTAATCGTTTTTCTAAATGTCCATTATCAGACCAATAATCACGATGAATTGGATAAAGTTGACAAAATGCAGGCAATAAATAGGCTAATGTTTTACCCGAACCAGTTTGTGCAATACCGATTAGATCAAGTTCGGAAAATAATATCGGTAATGATTGTGCCTGTATTGGTGTTGGTTTTTCATAACCAAATTTTGCCATAATTTCACGAATTTTATCCGGCATATCCAATTCATCAAAATCAAATATATTTCTGCCATCTTTAACATTTTCAACAAATACTTGATGTTCAGAACGAAATTGTTGAATTGCATCATCTAATGATGATGATTCATTCGATTCAATCAGTGTTGATTGATTATTGTAGCATTGTATTCGTTCAGTAATTGTTGGAGAAATAATGCTCGAATTTTTTTCATTTGTTGTTGTTGCTGTTTTCGATAAACAAATCGATGGCCAATATCGTTTATGATAAAACGTTTGAATTGGACAAATATTCAATGTTCCATTGAATAATTCCAATAGATTTCGATTTGTTTGTGTTAATTGAATAGATTTTCGTAATAATAAACGATAATTCATTTTTGTTTGAAGATTTTATCATCAAAAAAAATTTAATGAATGAAAATGGGTGAAAGAAAAAAAGAAAACCACGAGGAGACGAAAACTTTATGAGAAATCGAAACTTTTCACAACAAAAAAAAAGTTTACGGAAAATAAGTTTTGGTGGAAAAAAAAATGATTCGATAATAATTTTCGAAACGCGCTTTGTTTGTTTTTTTGCTTTGACATTTTTGATGATAATCATTCTTGTCAATCATGGATAATCGACTTACCGTATCATCTTTTTCATCGTTATTAATTTTTAATGATTTATATGATTTAAAACGTGATAGTCTTTATCTTGAAACCGATATCAAAATTGATGATGAAATAAAAAATTTAAAATTATTACCATCCGATTGTCATATTGTACGAACACCACATGTAATAATTTTACGATTATTACATATATTTGGTCCATTTCAAAATAATACCAATGATGGTAAAGATTTAATTTTGATTGCACAATGTGAATGTCAACCACAAATAAACGTATTGATTTGTATTAAAAATTTTGATGATCATGAAGAACAAATTGAGGTTTCATTCGAACAATTAAATCATTTATTTACATTGAAAAATTTTCTAACAATTGCATGTAAAAATAATCTTTCAATTTCATTTGTTGATTCAAGTAAGTCGAATTTGATTAATGGAAAATTTAATTAATTAAACAAATTCTTATTTCTTTTTGAAAAGGTGAAATAAATTGTCAAATTTTATCAAATACATTGAATGAAATTGTTATAATTGTATCGAAAAAATTTCATTCAAATTTAATATTTCATGAAAATTGTGAAATAAATGATATAATTCATTTGGAAAGATTATCATATCAAAGTAAAAATGCTATGGATTTAACTATTGTTTCACGTAATAGTAACAATGATAACGATAACGAAAGAGAATCAATGAATGAATCAATGGAATTATTACCATCACATTTACCAAGTGATGATGATATGGATACACCAATTGTAAATGGTGAAATTATGGATATTTATGCTAATACACAATCAACTGAAGCAAATTTTTCAAATACACAATCAACATCCAATGGTAATCATGATGATCATTCGGATGAATTAATGATATTGGAAACTGAATTGGATGATGATTTTATTGGACCAAATAATAATAATGAAATTGAGAAAAAAATACAAACAATAATCAAAGAAATCGGTAATGAATTAATGGAAAAATTCAATTTAAGTCGTTTAATACGAACAAATTTTAAAGATGATTTAATCGAAGATAATAAACCGATTGAATTAACATTATTATCACAATTACAATATCCAATAAATTCGGTTCAATCATATCGATTTGTAAATATTGTTGGTATTGTTAAACGTTATGATAATAATCTTTTATTGATTTATGATGAAACAATGGATGATTTTGAAATACGAACTGATAATCGTGGAATTGATTATTATAAAACATCAACGGCGACGACGACAACTGTCAATGGTAATGGTAATAATAATAATGTTGCGATGAAAAACTATCCATCATTAAAAGCTGGTAATATTGTATGTATTCGACAACTTTGTTTAACACAAAATCATCGAAATATTTGTGCCAATTCCGAACAAATTATTGCTATTGAAATTTATAATGAAAATGATCATTTTATAGTGAATGATAAACGAAAAATTTCCATCGAAGAATTTAAACAAATTATTCGATTATATTGTCATCAAATTAAAGAATTAATTAACTGTAAAGTTCATAATGCAAAAAATCTGGATAATCGACAATATTATTCGGGTAATTTAATTGGATTATGTGCAGCAAAATTTTCATCACAATTATCGGATAAATTATTTACCGATTTATATCTAATGATACCAACCAGATCAAAATATCCATCAACAATGATAATGAATATATCATCGATAGCCGAACAAATTGAAAATATGTCAATACGATCGAATCGAAATTATTATAAAGATGAATCATTTTTACAAAATTTATTAAATAATAATCAAATAATTCATATTTCAGTATGGGGAAATCATCATCGAATATTATCATCAATTTTACCATTAGATATTGTTATATTGTATAATGTTTACATTAGAAATGATCGTAATGGTAATGGTTTTTATTTTTATACATTAAGTGATGGTTTTGTTTATGGTCGTCGGTTAATTTCGATAAAAACAAATACAATAATTGATAATTATATACAACGATTATATCGAACATTTAAAGGAAAATTTTTAAAAAATCTTCGACAAAAACAAACAGATGAAATGGCTATTGAAATTGAATCGGATTTAGATTCATCAATTTTATTACGACTTGGTTCAAATGCAAAAGATTTGATTAAAAAAATGAAAAATGGTGGGAAAATTTTCGCAAATGAACAACAACAAGAATTATGGAAATTTGCTTTTATTAAGAAAAATATATTCAATTATGTTAAAAATCATCGAACATTATTTGAATCATTAGTTAATGTTGATATGGCAAAGAAAATTGATAGTTTTGTTCAATTAATACAGCTATCATCATCGACATCGACATCAGATGTGAATAATGATGAAGAACAATCAAACGAAAATTTAGCGACAAATTTATATCGTATTTCGGCACGTTTAATTAATTATCAATTTAATGATAAAAATGGTATTGAATTTATAAATCTAGCACATTTACGACAAAATCAAATGAAAATTAATTGTCAATCAAAATCATGTGATTTTATAGCATCATTTAATTCATATTTTCTACCAAAAGCATATGATTTTATGTCTTTATCAAATGATTCATGTAATGATGATGAAGATAAACAACAACAAAAACAACGATTAATTTGTCAAAAATGTGGTGAAACATTATCAGCATATTTATTTATTGAATTATATTTTGAAGATGATTATGGTAATCATTTAACAGCAATGTTATCATCGCCTGAAATTGAAAATCTAATTCATTGTACAAATCAACAATTGATTTGTTCGGATCCTGAAAGTACGGATATTTTAATGGCTTTACAATTTATATTGAAAACATTATGTCCTGTTCGTCAAATTGCAACGACAACAACAACAACCAAACCAGCAACAACAACAAATAATTCTCATCAAATGAATATAAATCCAAAATGTGATTGGATTATTGAATCAACCATTGTAAAATCTGATAATTTTAATTATGATGATTATTCAAATTTATATAATAGACATTTATTTGATTCAAATCAAAATGTTAATATGGATGAATTTTCCATATTTTATATTCGTTCAATTATGATTAATGATTGATTTTTTTTCAAAAAAATGTTTTTTTTCTTCAAGAAAATCATCATCGAAAATAGATTTCATAAAAAAAAATTTGATAATTTTTGTAAATAATTTTTTCTCTTCTCAATTGTATTAATCATCGTGTCCTATCAACAAACTTTTTGTTTGTTTGTATTTTTTTTTCTCAAAAATTTCTTGAAATAAAGAAACAAAAAATGATAATTTTCAGAAAATGAAAAATTCTGGTAAGTTTGAATTTTTGAATTTGAATGAAATGAATCCAATGATTTCTGTGCTGTACCTGAAAAACAAAATCCAGGTATGTTTGTGTGTGTTTTGAGATTCTGATGGCCACCACCACCACCACAACTACTATATTCTATTTTGATGGTGATAGTGGTGGTGGTCAATCATTATCATTATCATTACTTTTTTTTTGGGTGCGACAATAAAATTAATTCAATAAAGGTAATAAAAGTGCCGGACCAGAATATTAACCAAACAATACGAAACGAAAAAAAAACCTGTGTTTTTCCCATCGTCATGATTTCGACCTGGCAAAATGATTCGTGGGTAAATCATTTTGGTTGTTGTTGAAAATTTGGATCAAGGCGTAACCATGTTGTTTTCTTTTTGCCCCACACTCTTTCTTTTTTGGTTTCAATCAAATCTCATTCATTATCGTTTTGGTTCACCTTTTTTTTGGGTTGTTTTTGGTTTGGATTTGAACAATGATTACGTGGTTGTTTTTCTTGTAATCAGTCGATTTTAAAGATTCATTCATTCGATTGATCCAAAAAATTGTGACAAATTTTCACTAATTTATTGTATGTACATCTACATTCAACAAAAAAGGAAAGAAAGAAAAGAATTTATTCATCAATTTCTGCTATATAAAGATTACCAGATTACCTATTATTCGAGACAATCTTTGTTGTTGTTGTTGTTGTTGGTGTGATGATTCGATTAGCAAGACGATGACAAGTGATAATGATGACAATCTATTTCAATTCCAAAATTCTACACAAGATGATTATTATGATGATGATGAAAGCAAAAACAGACGGACGGCGAACGCGCCCAAAAAAAAAGAAAAGAATATTCAAACCCACCAAAAAAAAAACGTATACCACACCTGTATATTGTAGCAATATACAGGTATATTCAGTGGTAATAATAATTAGAAAATTTTATAAACAATTTCAAGAATAAGAATGACAAGATTAGAACAGGAAAACAAATGATTTCGATATTGTATTATAAAAATAGCACAAGATTTATTCATCATCGTTGTCGTCGTCGGCTAAATCAATGTTTATTTATCAAATTTTTTTTTCGTTGTTGTTGTTGTTGACAAATTTTTGTTTTGTTTTTTTTTTTTGTTTTCACTATATTCATTATATGATCATGTCAATATTTTTTTTTACCACCATTATAAATTACATTATCATTACGAAAAAAAATGATAATGATAACACCAAATCAAACCAAACGAGAAAAACATAATTTTTCTTAATCGAATCATTCGCGAATTCGAATTATCATTATTCAAAAAAAAAAATTCCCCGTTCAAATATGACATGACAAATTTTTTCGAATGAATCATTTCCCCTTTTTCTTTTTCTTGGTTGTTTTTGTTTATCTTTTTCTACGATGATGATAATGATGATGGTTAAAAAATGATTTATATTAGTTTTTTTTAAACAAAACTTGGATCATCATTATCATCATTATCATCATGATATGGACCCGAAAACATTTTCGTTGGTGTTGGCTTTGAAGATTACAGGATTTTTTTTCGTTTCGTTTTTGGTTTATCTGAAAACAAGAAAAAAACAAGGCGACAACGATGATGATTATTCGATTTTTTGTTTCTATTCAAAATCAATAAATATTTCTGGTAAATATTTCATTAATAATATTATTGTTGGTCGGTTGTGCATAATATTGTTGTTTTTTTTTTTGTTTCTTTTTTGGATCGCACCTTTTTCATCATCATATTTCATCCGATTCGAATGAATTTTGTCAGAAACAAAAAAGTTTCATCATCATCATCACCAACACCCATGTGAACCAAATCAAACCCGAAAAACATTAATCGCGCCATTACAGATATCTATCCTATCCATCTATATATCCATCTCTCTCTCTCTCTCTACTTCATCCCCCGGAAAACCAAATAACAAAAAGAAAAAAAAATCAAATTTGATTACCCTGTACATATTCAACGTATAAAGCAATGATCATCAACAACCGAATGATAATGGCAGCATTATGGTCAAACCATATTGATACCACCACTATTCAAATTCAAAACTATACCAAAAAAAAGAAACCTTCAAACCCAAAAAAAACCAAACCAGAATCAAAATGTAGTGTATGTATGTGTATGTCTGATATATTTCCAAAAAGTTGTTTGAACTAATTTAATCAGTTTTTTTTATACCCACCAGATTAATATAATAATAAAACAAAAAAAAATTTTGTTCACCACCAACACAACCACAAGACCATCATTATCAAACACCGCTATCATAATGATGATGATGATCGTATACAAATTTTATGTCACGCAACAGTCTTTTGTTGTTGGTTTCCCTAAATTCAACGAATATATGGATAGGGTGTGGGGGGTGTATGGATAAAAGTTTCAGTTTTGACAAATTTTTCTCTATCTGTGTCACCTTTTTCGTGTTTGTCCATTAAGCTTCTATTTTTTTTTTGATCCAACAGCAAAAACAAAATACCTGGTAATATTCTGTCATTTCTAATTTGTTGTTGTTGTTGTTGCCGTTCATAGTCGATGCCACGCCAATTTTTCTTTTGAATACCTATCCTATTCAGGTAAATTCCAACATTTTTTTGGTTCCTATGCATTTTTTTTCTAGTCATCATTATAATAATCATAACAGCGACGACGACCACAACCTAAAAATTTGGAAAGGTAACCATTCAAACTGAATGCAAAAAAAACCTGATCATTTCAATTCTCACAGTTTGATTCTATCATTTGAACGTGATTCATTTTCAGCTCCAGATACAATAGCCTATGCAACAACGAAAAAATTATTCTTCATACGTGATTACGATCATTTTCATTAATATGTTTCCAACATTGAAATTATTTTTATGGTTTTTTTTTCTCTCTGTGTGTCCGAATTCAATTGATTGAATGGGTAACTATAAAAAAAAAATTATGTCAATTTAATGAAATTCTCCTTCATTTCTTTCTAGATTTAACTTGAACAACGTTTTTAAAATGGAAAAAATTTCCTTTTTTTTTGAAAAAAAAAACGTAAAATAACTTGAGCTGTTCGTAGCAAAGCATCTTTTTTTTATATCGTTTACTCCTACAATCCAAATGATTTTGAATCAGAAAAAAATGATGATAATATTTTTTTTCTGTGCTTTGTTCGTTCGGCTCGAGTTACTTTGAAAGGAAAATTTAACAACAAACAACAAAAAATCAAATATTTCCATTTATAAATGAAATTTACTTTTTTTAATATATTTTTATAATATTTATAATTTACAGAAATTGATTGATTGATTGATTCAATTCAATCAAAGGGATAAGTATTTTGTTTGTTTTTTTTAAATCAAGATATTTTCATTGCCAGCCAACCAAACAAAACAAAAAAAAAACGAAGATAGAGATTCATTTGGTCCAACAGAGTAAGTTTGTTTTAGTTTTTTTTTACTTTAAACAATTAATTTTTGATGAATTATTTCATACATCATCAATTTACGAAATGCAGGTATATGTTCCTATGAAAAAACCGAGTGAAAAAAAACATACATCAAATTTCAAATTTTCAAGCAATCAACAAAAATCGTTTACCTGTGTAAATGTTAATGATGCACGACGTGATATATATTCAGCATATTTACAAACAAAAACACCACAATCATAATAATTTTGTTGTTTAGGTATATTTGGTATTTTATATTGTAATCGCCATTTTTCAATATCTAATTCCGTATTTTTCTTTTTTATACTTTCATTTTGTAAAAAATTAAATATTAAATCGATACAATAACGAAATTCATTACCAAGTGAATCATAATATTCAATAGAATGTTGTTCATTATCAACCACCTGGCCATCAAACATAATAATAATAATTTTATGATGTGCGAAATGTAAACAAAAAAATAAACATAATAATAATAATAATTTAGAAACTTACAGCTAATCGCCAATGATTTGAATGATGTATTGGAATCAATAATATATCATAGCTAAAAAAATCCAATTTATTCGACCAACGACCCGGTCCAGAACCATTCGAAAGTCTTGTAAAAAAATATGTACTAAATGCATATACTGTTGGATATAATTTTTTTCTATTACAATTTTTATCATTCATCTGTGATCTTGATACAATAAGATTTAGATAAAATTCAATTACCTAAAAATTTTTAAATTATTATCAAATGTATGGTTAAAAGAAGAATCATTATTATTGATTAAATATATGGAAACAAAAATGTAAATACATACAGCATCATTAAGCCAATTACAACCATCAAGTGTCATAATATCTTTGGTATGTATATTAATTGAATATGCTGATACTAATAATTGATTTGAATTTTGTAGAATTTCATCAATTTCATCTTCAATTTCTTCGGTTAATGGTACGATAGTTGTTTTCGTTGTTGTTTCTTCTTCATCACCAACACCGAATTCTTCAATTTGTTTAGATATTTGATGATCACGTTGTATATATGGTATATATCTTTTAAATTTTAAATAAAAATTATATGATATAAATGGTTCAAACATTGATTTAATTTTTGTTGTTATTGATTCACGATTATTTTTCAATATTTTTACTGAATTTAATTTTTCATAAATTTTTATATCATTTATATTTGATTTGTCATCATTATCGATATATGATTTTTCTTTATTTGAAAACGAAAATGATTTTGACAAAGTTGTTGACGATGATGATTGTGATGTTGGTGATATGGTATTTTTACTATAAACAAGACTGATTTTATTTTCAACCGAAGATTTAAAATCATTCGATTTTTCCGGTAATTGCCAATAATCTTGTATCAAATTTAATCGACTTATACTGTTATTGGTTAATGAATTTTTTCTCATTGAATCATTTGGATGATAATTTGATGCCAACGATGTTGTAAAACATTTCGATTGAACCATATTTAATAATGAATAGGAATTTGTTCGATGTTGTTGATGGTGGTGATCGAGTATCTTGTTATTCGATGATAATGGTATTGATTTTTGCATCAATATTGATGATGAATTAATGGCACTTTCATTTCGTTGTTGTTGTTGTTGAAAAATGTTTCGATTCGAAACATTTACATGTTCCATTAATAATTTTTTAAATTTTTCACGTTCATTATTTTGAAATGAATTCATTTTTGAACGATTTTTATTTTTTATTATTTTATTATTCTGTATTGATGATGATGATAATGATAATGATGATTTTGGTGTTGAATAACGATCAAATTTCAAATGTCCAAAACGATTTAATAATGATGTTGATGATGATGCGGTGGTGAATCTTGATGCTTTTTGATGATTATTCGGTGTATTTTGATTATGATGATGATTATTATTTACAGCTGACGTTTCGAATGAATATCCTAAATGGATGGAGAATATTTTGTTCTGGATTAATTAGAAAAACAACAACAACAACAACAACAACAAAAAGAATATTTACCGGCCATGATGTTGTTTTCAATGATAAAGAATATCAACAATATTCGAATCGATGGATCACAGTTATAATAATGCCAATTAGATGGCGATCAATAACAAATGTTTTTTTTTTTTTATAAAATTATTTTAAAAACATTTAAACATCGAAGAGAAAAATTGAAATGTCAATCAAAATGAAATGAATCAATGAAAAACAAATTAGAAAAACTGAATTGAAGAAAAATCCTTCATTGAGATGAGAGAATACGATCAAACCCGCTCACCTCACTTCGCAAACATCACACGCGTACTCAAATATATTAAAAGCGGTAAAAACCATTTTGTCCATTCAAATAGTACGTGTCAGGATTTAATTTTTTTTTTTCCTTAATTTTTTCCTGTTCCAAAAACTTTGAATTTGTTTTTTTTAAATTTATTTTTTCACTAAGTGCACAACATCCACCACCGCCACCAACAACAACATTTGTTCCAAGGTAATCCAAATTTCTGTTTTTCTTGTTCCAAACATAATTATGATCCATGATTTTTTGTTTCTTTATCGCCCATATTTAGTCATTTTGAAATGGATGACTATAGACTGCTGAAAGAGCGGCAATCAGAGAGATTTTTTTCGTTTTCTTTTTTCGGCAATAAGAGAAAACTGTCAACAATGAAGTTATCTTACTTATTATCTAAAAAGGAAAAAAACAACTTCAGGATTTATTTGTCATCATTATTAGTTATCGACTGCTACCGATCTTTATGATTCCATGATTTATTTGATGAAGAAAACAAAAACAAAAGGTTTGTGTTTGTTTTACGAACTAACTGAATTTTTCCCGTTATTATTCGCATCTTTATATGAAAATTTGATTTTTTTTTTTGGATCAAAATTTTTGATATGCGCGCACATGAATGTTTCAGATTTTTTTTTTTGATGTTCCCGTTTTGTATTATTCATAATAGTTTGGTGGTATTGTTTTTTTTCTTCGTTCGGTCCATCGGGTAATCCGGTGTTCGGGCAATCTCCATACATCCAGCCGAAATGCTCCATAGGATTGTTCCATGGAACGAACACACATATAATAATAATTTCTGTTTCATAATGTTCAGTGTGTGTGTGTATACTTTACTCACGTTGTTTTTATTTTCTTTTATTTTTTTTTTTCATTTTATTAGTTCATTTGCCTTTTGTTTTGTTCACTTTTTTTTCAAGAGCGACTGTTCCATTTGGATCGACCAATTGATGGTGGTGATGATGATGAGGAATGCTATATGAAAGAAGAATCTACCAAAAAAAATCTCATTTATTGTGTGTATGTTTGGCTACCTTTTATTTTTCGTTGTTGTTCAATAATGTTTCTTCATCACCATTGATTTTTCTGATATTCTGAATCAATGAAAAATCTTCGAAATGACATGATGATGACAATCAATACAACAGCATTATCATCACATTCGATGAAAGATAATAAAGATTCATCGACAACTGTAACAACATTACCGAAAAAATCATTAGATCATTATTCCATATCAATCGTACAAGAATGTACAGCTATAAAAAAAGGTTTACTTTGGGAACAACAACAACAACCAAAAATATTTTTTTTCAATCGTTGGAAAGAACGTTTTTTCATTTTAACACAAGATTATCTTACTTGTTTTAAAAAAGGTTCGAAAAAAGTTGGTATGTCTGAAATGGGTAGTTTTGTTTATAAGGTAAATATGTTTTGTTTGTTTATTACTTTTCTGTGTTAAATTATTTCATTTCATTCGAAAATTTTGTTTTTCACAGATAAATTTAAATGAAATTCAAAACCTAAATTGGGTTGATAAGAAAAAAAATGGTGTAATCGGTATACAATTATCAAATACAATGATATTTTTATGGAATAATTCTGATTCAATATTAGATGAATGGATGTCCAAATTACAAGATTCAACTATTCGTACAAAAGATCGTCGAACAGAATCATCGACAAAACTTCGTAAATCATCAACATTATTACCAAATATGTTACATATTACAACAAACCATAATAATAATGGCAATAATAATAAATTTAAAAAAACTGAATTAATTCAAAGGTAAAGTTTTAGTTTGATATGAAATTAATTAATTAATTAACATTATTTTCAATAGTAATGATTCACCCATTGTCAATCAACGATTAAATCAATCAACATTGATCACCAAAAATGATGATGATAATGATAATAATGGATTTATAAAAGATAATCATATGATAATACCACCACCACCTCCACCACGAAGATATCTTCGTTGTTTATCGACAGGCAAGTTGCAGTTGTTTGAATTTGTTTGAATCTTTTCTCATTTGACTATTGGGCATTATTATTATAGATTTAGGCAGTACAACAATGAATCAACAACATTCGAATGTTAATCAAATAGTAACACCAAGTTTATCTCGTAATTCAATGGCTATTCATAATTCACCAATATCAATGATCAACAATCATAACAACCATAACAACAACAACAAAAATGGCAAAACAATATGGACCAAAATGAATTTGGATATTATTTCGAATGTAAAAGATTCGACGATGTCAACAACAACAACAACAAAAATGGCCACAAGAAAACAACCGTCCAATGATTCGAACAATAGTATTGGTTCATCATCATCATCATCATTAATGTCACAATCATTACGTTGTAAATCATCATATGCACTTCAATATTCACCATTAATGATCAATATTAATGATTCTCCAACGCAAACCAATCATCATCAACAACAACAACAACAACGACGTATTTGCAATGCCAAACGAATATCAACATTTCAAAACAATCATCATAATAATAATTCAATACAACAATATTTAATGATGAATAAAAATAATCATCAAACATCTAATTCATCATCATCATTTTTCAAATCAGCCGATTCTGAATTTACATTTGTCAATTCAAAAGCAAATGAATTTAAACCAGAAAATTCAATTAGATCACGTAATGGTTATCAAACAACAACAAATACGACTAACGCTTATCATAATGATAATGATTCACCAACAAATATGAATTATATAATAAGATCAAATCGTATATCATCATCAGCATCATTAATGTTGAATAATAGACGTTTGAAAAATCGGAATTTTATATTGGATCAAACGACAACAACAACAATATCACCAGTATCACCAATACCAACACCGCCACCAATTCCACCACATCGTACACATTTACATAATTTTTGATTAATTTTTTCCTTTGTTTTTTGTTTTTGTTTTTTGATTTCAAAATTTTACATTGAACTTACTTACTTACTTACTTACACAAACAAGCTTATAATTGTGATACTAATGTCGATGGATCAATAATTAATTTGTTTTTTTTCTATTCCATTCAATCATTATTGGAAGAAGAAAAAAAAAATATTGAAGAAGCAGCAGATTTTTTTGTCCCTAAACAACAACAACAAAATCTCATCAATTGTTCCACAATGTTTCAATGAATTATAACAAGGCAAAAGAAAAAAGTTTCTATTGAGTTTCCATTTCAGATTGAAAATGATGTTCAATTATAATGTGAAGAAACGAAGAACCGAAGAAGAAACAAAACTGTCCACATAAACATAAATTTAACACTGTAGTAGTCCATTAATTAATTACTACAACAACAAAAAAAAAGATCAATCCATTTTAATTATAGTCAAATATATTATAATAGTTTGAACAACAACAACAACAACAACAACACAGTCCATTTGTCCATTTTTTTTTGTTACATTGTTTTAGTTTTTACAACACAGCCATACATAATAATAATATTTAGCATCGAGAGAAAAAACAGAAAACAGAAAAAGTTTCCAAATGTGGATTATATATATATTTTTTTTTATATGTATCCACGAATAAAAGAGACAATCAATCGATTATTACTGTAATAATTTTTATTTTATAACAAAAAAAAAACATTAAATGGATAATGATTATTTATAAATATAGAAAGAGAAAGTAATAAAAATGCGAAAACAAACAAACAAAAACATATTTTATAAGTTTTATTTTACAAGATTTTCGTGGTTTGATCAGGATTCAAAATGGACCAGAAAACAGAAAATGGAAACGGAATGAATTTTTGTTTTGTTTTTGTTTTTGTTTTCTTTGAAATTGATAAAAATTTTTCATTCATTCATTTTTTGGAATGACATTAATATTTAATCATTTTTGAATTGAAAAGGAAAAAAAAAATTTTGTTTTTTTTTATATCGATGCAACACACATTGATTGATTGATTGGTTGATTTGATTTTGATAATGGCCAATGTTTGATTGACTCTCTCTGTCAGTCGATCATTATTCGATCATCATGTGTATCATGTATATATAAGATACACACATATTGATCACAGGGAATGTTGATGATAACGATTTTCTATTGCCATTTTTTTTGATTGATTTTTGATTGTGTGTGTGGTGTATGGTTTTTTTTCTTGGTTTGTTTTTTTTTGAAAGAAAGAAAAAAAACTTTGATCTCTCTCATTTTCCCAAAATGGACGATAATAATGTAAATAAATTTTTTTTTCTCTATATTATTATCCAATGTGTGATGCGTGTTTGATATTGAATTTTTTGATTTTTCGATTTTTGATTTGGAAATACATTGATTTCACATGTGATAAATCTACATTGAACATCGAACATACACCCACTAACCAAAAATGTCTTTGTTGATTGTGTTTGTGTGTGTGTTTTGGTAGCTGTGAAAAGAAATCATCCATCCACAGATTGAACTACTGAATTTTCATAATTTCTTTTTGTTTTTGTTGCGGTAAGTTTTCCAATGAATTTTCAATCAATTTAAAAATTTTCAATTTCAATTCAGACTTGATAAACTTTTTTCCTCTCCATTTCGTTCATTGATCATATCTATCGTGTGTTTTTGTTTGTTTGTTGATAAAATGCCACAACCAACCACTGGAAACAATGTATCATCTGCAAATAATGCATCCGATCTAAATCAATCAACAACGACAACGACGACTACGAATAATAGAATGATGATCGGAAAACACAATAATAATCAGAATAAACACAGTAATAATAATAATAATAATAATAATCTCCGGTCGAATAATCAATCAGCAAATCGATTGCAGCAACAACAACAACAACAACGTAAAGATGTTCAACGTAATAATAATAATAATAATGAAACAAATTCATCAGCAACAATAACAACATTTATACCTGAAATACGTGAATATTTATTTAAAATATTAGTTATTGGTGAACTTGGTACAGGTAAAACAAGTTTTATAAAACGTTATGTACATCAATATTTTTCACAATATTATCGTGCTACTGTATGTATTTTTAATTGATTTTTGATTTTTGATTTTTGATTTTTGATTTTTGATTTTTTTTAATTTTTGTCTTTAGATTGGTGTTGATTTTGCATTAAAAGTTTTAAATTGGGATGATAATATATTAATACGTTTACAATTATGGGATATTGCCGGACAAGAACGTTTTGGTAATATGACAAGAATCTATTATAAAGAAGCTGTTGGTGCATTTCTTGTGTTCGATGTTTCTGCACCATCAAGTTTTAATGCTGTATTAAAATGGAAACATGATTTGGATACAAAAGTTTGTATGGCTGATGGTCAACCAATACCATGTTTATTGTTGGCAAATAAAGTAAGAATATTTTCATTTGATTGATTGATTGATTGACTGACTGATTGACTGATCGACTGATATTTTGTGTATAGTGTGATGCTAATAAAGAAGGTATTGCAGCCGATCCAGAAATGTTGGAAAAATTTTGTAAAGAAAATAATTTCTGTGGTTGGTTTTATACATCGGCTAAAGAGAATACAAATATTGAAGAATCGGCTAAATTTCTTGTCGGTAAAGTATGTATTTTATCTTATCGTTTTTTTTTGTCGATTGTTTTGATTGAATTGAATCCATTTTCATTTCATTTCAATCGATTTTCAAAAATATAGATTCTACAAAGACAAAAACATTTTGCATTGGAAGATGTTGCCGATAATGATGATGTTATTAATCTAGCCTATCATAATCATCGTGTAAGTAAATCGGAAAAATGTAGCTGTTAGGCTTTCATCAAGAAGTAAAAATAGCCAAGACTAAAAACTTTAACCCGTATACACCATCGTGGTTTGTGATTGTGTTCAACGACAATAACCAAAAAGAAACAATGATTTGTAAATTTATTGATTTCATTTTTTTTTTCGATAGACAATATCCCGGCTAATTTTTCTTTTTTATTCTTTTGTTTCAAATGTAAATTTGCAATAATTTTTTTTTTTTGCTAAAATCAAATAAATTTTTACATTAATTTCATTTATGATTTTCGAAAAATTTTTGTCCCGAAAAAAGATGGCAGCACTGGGTCTAATAAGGAATAATGGTGATTTTCATTTTTTTTCACAACACCAGATGCCGATGTAATCTTGTATGATTTATTTTTTTGATTCTGGAACCAGTGCTGCCATCTATATCCGGATAATTTTTTGTAGGATTCGGATATGCAAAGAGCTGCTATGTAACATTTGAATGGAAGCTGAATTTTAAATCAAAATCAATTTTTCTCTAAATTAATCTGAAACTAAAATCATCGAAAATTTTCATTGACAACTATATCGTTATCAGAAGCAGAGCAGCTGCTAAAAATTTCCAATATGTAACCGAACAGCCACGGGAAAAAATTCACGTCCAAGCACATACACAAACACACACAGAACCATAGGACAATCCGATAATGTTCCCTAAATGTTAATGTTAATTCAATTCAATTGATAATGATTTTTTTGATAAAAATCTTGATAATAGCCCATTTAAAAACAATGTTGATGAACCAATAATAATAATGACATTTGTTTTTCATCTAAAAATCTGGATTATCTTTTGACTAATTTCCACAAAAAATAAATAAAAATAAAATTAAAAAAAATCGAAAATGATAAGCACATATATGATATTCATGTGTTTTATTATGAGGGTGATTACCATTTGTTTTATGATATTTTTGCTGGATTTTCATCAAGCAAAGCAGACAGAAACAAATCCAAAATGAATGAATTTTAAATTTTTCCAGAAATACAAACCAAGTGACCAGATATAACTAGCAAAATTTGAAGAAAAAAAAATCAAAAATTACAAAATGAATGAATTTTAAAATGATAAGTCAGGTTGTTGTTGAAAAAAAGGTGAATGATTGAAAGGAGAAAAAACAAAAAACAAAACAATCATCAATATTTACCTATTTTGATTCGAAACAAAACAAAATAAAAAATTGATAAACGTTTTTCAATCGCACATCATGTCAATAAATAATAATCAACATTTATGACATCCGATACGAATCATATAAACAAACAAAACAAAACAAAACAAAACATATAACATGAACAAACACACAGTAGCATTTGATCCTCATCATCATAATCATCAAATCCAAAACAAAACAAAACAACAACAACAAATTGATGTGGATATGTGTCAAGTGATGATAGCATAATAATAGGCTTTCTACAATATTTAGTGGTGGAAA